CGACAACTTAACACCTATGTAAGTTTTCTTCCCCCTTGATTTCGATTCTTTTAAGGTTATTGGCCAAATGGGTGTTCTTTACAAATCTCCGCCTTGATTTCGATTCTTTTAAGGTTATTGGCCAAATCGTTTTTCTTTACAAATCTTCACGATAATATGATTGTTAGACGAACACGACTCTACACAATAGTATGATATATTGTTTACTTTGAATATAATCTCATGACTTTGATTTGGGCTTTCTCAAAACGCCTCCTACCAATGGAGTGACTATTCTATAAACCCATCAACACCTCCCCTCGAACAAAATACGCGGAGGTGACTTGACTCATTTTTTCTTTTTGGAGTTCTTTGTTAGACATTCGAGGATTTTGTCAATCTAAATTTAGGGCATGACTTTGATATGATACTATGTTAGACGAACACGACTTTTCACAATGCTATGATATTGTTCACTTTGAGCATAAACTTTCATAAAGGTCTCGGGTGTAAAATGTATTAATTACTTATAAATTCATGTTGATTTTTAGTCCACCATATTTATTTTCTTAATTTTGGCAGGGATTTAGGAAGATTGATCCAGACAAGTGGGAGTTTGCTCATGAAGGTTTCTTGAGAGGGCAGAAGCATCTTCTGAAGCTGATTCGGAGGAGGAAAACGGTGCAACCAAATGCCACTCTCCAAGCTCCGGACCCTTGTGTCGAAGTCAGGCGGTTCGGTCTGGACGGAGAAATCGATCGGCTGCAGCGAGACAAGCAGGTTTTAATGGGGGAGCTGGTAAAGCTAAGGCAACAGCAGCAAACCACAAAAGGGCAGCTCCAAACAATGGAGCGCCGCCTCAAAAAGACAGAGACAAGGCAGCAACTAATGATGAACTTCTTAGCAAGAGCAATTCAATTCCCTGATTTCATCCAACAACTCATCCACCAAAAGGACAAGCATAAAGAGCTTGAAGAAGGCATCAATAGAAAACGAAGACGACACATCGACCAAGGCCTTTCCCCAACCTCCGACGAATATGACGAAGAAGACGAGGCGCCGTTCGCGAACGACATCCATGTGGATGTCGAGCTACTAGCCGTTGAGATGAACCAAAATAACCAGCATTTTGCTAAAGAAGAAATGGGTGAAAAAGGAGATGAAGCAATGGATGATGGGTTTTGGGAGAATTTGATGAATGAGGCTAATGAAGAAGGGTTTGGAGTTCATGGGTTTGAAGAACAAGATGATGAGGTTGAAGATGGAGATGAATTGGTTGCTCATTTTGGGTTTTTGAATTCTAATCTTAAATAGATGGATCATAGTTGATTTTTGCAAATAATTGAGGTTTGGGAGACTGAAATATCGGTTTCGTTGGCTCGTCGGGAAGAAAGATGGAGTGTAACCTGTAGAGCACATGTGAGGCAGAGTCTAGTTGATCACGTAGTAGATCTCTATCTCTCTCTAGATATCTACACGCTACTACTACTGCTACAGCTATTGTTGTGACGGCAACCTATACACAACATTTGTAATGGACCCATGCAAGATTACTAAAATAATTACTTTTTAAAAAATAAATTTATTTTCCTGCCTTTTGAATTCTTAATCAAATTTCAATAAACAAAAATTCTTCTAAATTTCTAAAAATGGGTTAATAGTTTTGATATTTGTTAATTATAATATTATTCTTCAAATTAAGATGTATTAATTTTTTTAAAAGATTTTAAATTGCATCCCACCAAACAAAAACTCTATTTTCTTCATTTTCAAGTTTATCAATTTATATATTTTTTAATTCAAAAAATAATTAAAATCCCATCTTTCCTTTTAACCAACAAAATAATTAAAATTGTCGGTCATTGAATAATTGGCTTATACATTAAAAGAAAAAAATAAAAAAAAATTCCAATTCCACCGGCGATTTTCTGGGCCTCCAACATACCCACTAATGGGCCCATCATTCTATTGGCAGCCCAACTTGTAACCGTCAGCATCTTATTTCTCCATTTTTGTCCAGATCTCAGCCGCTGATTTCCCATCACTCCCAGAAGGCGCCAATCAATACAATAGACTCGCACACACCTGACTAAAACTCTGACGACTTTGACTATACTTTAATTAATTAAGCATTTAAAATGACGTGTTAAAGCCACATGTCTTTATAGCTAAGGAAACTATCTTCTCTTTGTGCGCCAAGTCAATGTCCAATGGAGTTCATCCCACGTCAAGCGCTAATTCAAATTAATTAAATTATAATAAATTTAATTCCTTAAACTTTCAATAAATATGACAATTGGCTTTATGGTTATTTTATTATTTACTCTTTTTTTTTTCCCTTTGTTGCATGAAAATTATAGTTTTTA